AGCAGCAATGTATTTGTCACTTTACAATCACATACCATCAGGTGACACGTCTGCTCATTTAGGCTGCTATACCATAAAAAACGAATCAAAATTATACATGTAAAAATTGTACCTCGACATCTAGTAAATACAAGTATAATAATATTACAATTGTGAAAATTACAAGTAACATATAACAAAAGAATAAATAAAGGGTTGTACCCTAATCACAAGTCCCAAAACAGTATTTTACCTAAAACAAAAAACCTTTGGAGTCTATCAGGGCGTGAAGTTTTTATTAAAAATGTTGTTCAAATGTAACGGGCGCAGTGAATCAGAAATGGCCGGTTGTAATGTATCTTTGGGTAGCCGGGTTCCTTTGTAGAAGGGCGTAGGGTAACGAGGATTGCCCACTTGTACGGAACCCCTACACATGCTTTATTATTTACGAGTTTTACCCTTTATGTATGTTTTTACGCTAAGATTTTATTGCTGTGCTATTCATGAGCTAAATCCGTGGAGGAATCAGTGTTGGGAGTGAGTATTGATTGTCGGTAGTACTTGTAATGGTAGCAATACCTTCCGTTAGACAAATAAAGATGTCCGTAATAATGTACCTGCACAAATTATCTTTTGTTGAGTATTCTTAATTTAAATGTTTAAGATGTTTTTAAAATTTATTATTACTAGATATTGTTTAACTGACTTTTGGACAAGGTTCTCAAACCGGTTGATTTTTTGTGAGGAGTATGACTCATGTATTCACATATAGGTTAGAACCACCCGACTGGGAGAACAACTCCAACCTACAAAATTATTAGTACCTATTGCTATGAGCGTAGTGTTGTTATACTGCACGCATGTTGCTACCATTTACTTTATAAACCCATACGTTTACGACCAACTTAAAAAGTGAAGGACCTTTTAAATTCGGTTCTATATTCTTTAAGATTTTTTACCCCAGACCTTCGTCCATCGGTTTGAACTTATTAGGGAGAGCATAATTCCCGTTCGGTCCTATTAAAATTTTAAGAAAAAAACCACGCTTAGATGTGAAAAATGAATGAATAAAAATTTTAATATCATCATGGTATAGGTGACGCATCGAAGTCGGTGATACTTATTTGAAACCCATTTCAAAAAACACCTAAATCTAATGTAGTATGTAAAGTTCAAATAATAATCTAAGCATGAAATAAACTAAATAATTTAATGTCTAGACAATTCATCAAACGTGATCTACGATACTTTTAAAAATAAGAATCAAAGTGTACAGAAATAGAGACGGTTACCGTGGGGCTCACCCCTTCCTTGAATTAAGTTTAACATCCCAATCGACATATCGTGTTTCGCGAACGTATAACAGCCTATTTGTACTAGGGGTGCGTTATACCGCCCTAAGTGTTATTGTTATCAGGCTTTGTACTGGATCTGGGTTACAATGGACATGTATTATAAACTCTTTTTGTCTTTATGACTCTAGGTTATATAAGAGATGTATCTCTTCATTTTTAAATAATGAAGTCTGTTAGTTTGTAATAGAGTATTATTAAATTATCCTGAATTAATAAAATAAATCTAGCCTAATATAACTAAAAACCAGATCTCATTCCACTTAAAGTTCGGTACACAATTTGTATATATTTTAATTTATGTGCATAATGGTTATTAAGAGCTAAATGTGTCATAAGTATATTTTTTTATCATGTCACACACTATACCTATATATTTTTTATGATGTTGGTATCACTATCTCACAGGCGTGATTACAAGTATTTTAACCTTTTGGCACATATCACACTGAAATTGATTTTTAGTCTATACATGAATATTTATTTTGACCGATCTGGCAAGGGAACCGTATGTATAACATAGTCACAGTGCCTTGATAGAAATACCTACGAGCATATAGGTGTAAAAAGGGAGCTACTCCATTATTGATTTAATTTAGCATGTATCATAGAGATTTAAGCAATAGAACACATCCGAATGCATTATGAATGGGTGTCTATATTCAGTGCGGGGGATCAAAGAGACTAGCACATTATTAGTATTGTAGCGAGGTGGCTAACCAACCGTGCCTAGCGACGCGGCCCGCTGTAACTGTATAATATTCATTTAGTTTTTGCTTCAGTATTACTCAACTATTTGAGTACTCTTACTATTGAGTATTGTATCTAGTAAGCTTAAGAAGTGAAGCTTCTGAACGAGGGTGTATGTTATATAATTTGTCCAGATTAGTTTAAAAAATCTGCATCATAATCTGTTTATTAAACCATCTTCCTAAGGAGAGGCCCATGTACAGCACTGGACTATGAAAGACTGTTGATGATGATGACGATGAGGAATCTGTTTGATTATCTACCCGCGTATTGTGCAAAAACAATATTAAAACAGACTAGACTAATTATAACTAATTAATGTTTAATTTTTATTTGTGTATAAATTATACTTTTTTGCATAAAATTAAGAAATATGTGCCTAGTTCTTTTTTATGGAAGTGGAGGCAAACCAGCAGACGAAGCGACTACCGCCGCCTATGAATGCCTGCAGCTCAGAAGTCAGAAGCGCGTTGCCAGCCTTTGAGGAAAGAGTACGCTTTTTCTTGAGGGTTTAGACGTCGTATCGGTCCGTAAATACCGCTAACGATAACTTGTTCCACAGATATACTTATGTGGTAAATAAAAAAAACATACAAAAATACTTATTTCAATATCCTTTTTTGAAGAATTACTATCACTCACAGTAGACACTGAAACAAGACAAATAAAGTTTAGAAATAAAATCCACAAACTAAAAAGAATAAAAAGGTAGATATAAAAATACACAATTTAGTATAGGATGTCAATGACATCAATTTTTTGTAATGTCGCTCGCCCGATTCATTTTAACGAATCGGGCAACATTACAAAAACAAATATGAAAATTGAGTCATACAAAACTAATACTTACAAACATCTGCGCCATATATCTGAACAGCTAATTTTAAAATTGCTCCAAGGGACGTGCCGAGCAAACAGAAAACATTTTAATAAAGCAAAACCCATTTTAAATTTCCTGCGTAATATAATATCGGGGAGTCAATATTTAAGGTTGAAGTCGTATGTAACAAAAATACTAATATTTTATTCTGTTCGGTTGATTTCTCACCCCGTATCTGTGACTGCACCCCTTCGTCTGATTCTCTGATTGTGCGTGCTGTCGCCATGCGGAAGTCACTTTGAAGCCTCACACACCATTGTCAATATGTAACCTAGGAGGACTTCAAAGACTTTTAACTCTAACATTTCCTTCACATTATTTTGTTAGAGCTTCATTGAACTTCTCTTACAATAGAGTACGAGTAGAGCAGTGCTGAAGATCGTGTAGCACTACAACGCGACATAGACGCAGTTGTTAAATGGAGAGTAAAAAACAAATTAGCTTTTAACATTGCGAAGAGCTAAACTATAACTTTTTCTGGGTCACACACTCCAATCACTAAGACATACCAGTTAGCGGGTACTCCATTAGAACTTGTCTTTGCAATTCGCGATCTAGGCCTAATCATGGATACCCATTTAAATTTCCATGAACATATTATTGAAACGTGTGAAGAGGCGAGTTAAAGTCTAGGTTTCATAATTAGAGCATCGTATCAATTTAAAAATGTCCAAATGATAAATACAATTGTAAAATGCCTTAGTACGGAGCCCTCGAGAAATCTTGTATACAATTATGGTGGCAAAAATACACCGTAAGTTTGCCCGATATTTTTACAAACGCCAGTACTACCCATTTCTTTACCCATTAATATTTGTATCGGGCATGGTTGGTCTAGATACCCTACAGTTTAGGCGAGAACTTAAGGATATCACACATTATTATTTTTTGATGTGACAAAATGATAACCCTGCAGTTTGTGAGACCATATATTTCTATGCAGGAGACCAATACATGAGAGGCATTACTAGGTGAAAGCATAGACTTCTCTGCTATCTGTTTGATATTCATCAATTAGGGCTATGACTAACAATTGAAATTATGTGCAATTAAATAACTACTGTTTTCCTATGGAACTAACACGAGATCAACCGAAAAAAAATACCTGTCAATCACAACAATTCAAGAACAAATCTTTTCCGTACTGTCTGATTGTATCAAGGTATATAACTTTACTTGGCCGTGTGGTGACGGATTAATAATATGGAGTGTCACCACCCATAGTCATCTCATGGATGTCGTAAGAGCTCACTAAGGAAGCAAACTTTGCAGGACAACAGCACTGCAAAGAGAAGGAAAACTTGGCACAAACCCTATCCGTCAAACCGTATCCCTACCCGTCTGGCCAGCGTAGTATAAGGCCAAAACGTTCTTCCTAATTAGAGGCCTATGTCCAGTAGTGGACTATTGACGTCACGGATGGCGTAGTGGTTTAAGCGATCAACTCGCCGCTTGCAACTGCGCTGAGAGTTGTGGGTCCGATCCCTAAATTGGACAACACTTTGTGGGATCTACTAATTATGTTCTACATCTGGGTATTAGGTATTTGTTGTGTCCGTTTTATGTACTTTTGTGAAGTACCCCGTGACAGAGGGTTATATTCCTAGTGCAGGAGTTGTCTTAAAAAAAAAAGAAAAAAAGAATTTGAAGCGAAAACTTACGGAAAAAATTGATCATAATGAAAATCCATCAAAGACCAAGTCGAGTTAGAAGATTTAATTGAATGTGTGTTTTTTTTATATCGAATTGATTCGTCTTTATTTAAAAAAATATTATTCAAAAACTAAATATGTTAATAATTACACTCCACTATTACTTATATAATGTAATTCAATAATTCACCTGTTTTCTTTACAGATAGCAACAGCCACAATGACATCTCTAACTTGTACGAGAAGTTTAAATCAGGAATCGTTCACGAATTTAAGTCCGACTCAACCTTTGATGGAGGAAGTTATGTGACGGTTGTGAACTATAAACAATTAAGACTAAGTTTTTATGTAATGTGTAAGTAACAAGTGTTTCAAGTGAACAGTACAATGCATTTATCGAGTGAAGTAAGTTCGACTACGAACGGACTGGGCCACGAGGCACCTTCATCGAGTTACGGCAGTAATGCCCTTCCGAGTCAGCCATTGACAGCTGAATTGCTGGCTGAAAGGACCTTGGAAGGTCTCTTAGCAGATCATCCTGGAGAGTTAGTGAAGACGGGGAGTCCCCATGTGGTAGGTAGCTTTGCCTATTATCATCTTAATATCTCTTGGCTGGAAGAAGGAATCGTAGGTTATTTGCAAAATACTTCAGGATCTTTGTTTAACAGTGGACGACAAATAATCTAAAAACCATGTCAAAAGAAATGTTTATGTAGTTTATATGCCTGAAAGTTTTAGAAATCAATGATTTTGAGCAATCAAAAGTAATATTTTGTATGTAAAGAATAGAATTTCACTGTGTTTATCTATATAAATAAAAATGTTGAATGGGTTTGTATACGCTTCAAAATTCGAAAAGTTCTGCACCACAATGTGCTACAGCGAAGTGTGGCAAGGTATAGCTAGTAAGAAATAAAATATTCCTACTTTTACATACATACCAGAAGTGACGATTATGGTGTGATATATGTTATATGGTAGTTATTCTAGTAATAATTTATAAGCGTGTAATAAGAAAGGAATAGCAATTGCGATAGTGACGAACAAGTGATTAATCTGGTTATAAATTACTACTATAAGGAAATCAAGCATGTTAATAATTAATTTTAATGGCACAGTTTTGAAAAGATAGAAACACATTTGAAACTTAAAACTGTTTGACGGGGTATCCATTTCCACAGAAGGTTCTTACTCATTTTAGATTCGTTGTCACCACACCAACAACTCCTATCGGCTTTATTATTTAGGTTTGGTTTTATAGTATAGTAAGCATCCTATGGAATCTATATCATGTTATTCATACATTATTAATCAAAATAAACACATCTTTGCTACTTTTCTACCATCTATAATTTTATTACTATTTTTTTTTAGGTTTGTACAGTATTGCCTCCTCACTGGCGGTCCAACAAGACACTCCCAGTGGCCTTCAAGGTGGTGGCACTGGGTGAAGTTGGGGATGGTACTCTAGTCACTGTGAGAGCTGGTAACGACGAGAACTGTTCTGCTGAGCTTAGGAATTGCACCGCGGTTATGAAGAACCAGGTCGCTAAGTTTAATGATCTTAGATTCGTTGGGAGAAGTGGTAGAGGTGAGTTGCATTATATTGCATTATACTTATTAAGTTAATTGGGCACCATTCCTATGAGGATACCAGCACGAGTGTATGTACCTTCCAAACCATCGTTGTTCAAAGAATGGTAAAACTAACGACTTTCCAGCCCCCATCCTTAGATCCAAATGAAAATTGTGTTGATATGGATTACAAAGTATAATTTGAAATACTAAAACCTGTAATCATCGGAACGGATTAGTAATAAAATATTTTGAATTTGTAATTAAAGTATTTATAAAATTATCCTGTTACGTTGAAATTGGTATTGAATACCTCAATCTATGGTCTCACAAAAAAATAAAAAAATAAAGAATATTTAATAAAAACATATATAAAGTGACATACATACAATTATGTATATGTGTATTGGTCAAATATTCTGAAACGAATTCCGAAACCCAAAACGCAACGGTACATTTCGCTTAATTATATATATTTGTTATGGAGTTACATTCTCAATACAAGTACCCCAAAGAATCCGAGAAATCCTAATTAGTTATTTTATTATAATGTAAAAAACTCAAAATTCGGTTGTATGTATTACATGCATTTATTTCGATATTCAATCACTGCCTAAATTAGAAATTAACGGAGAGCTAGCAAATAGCAAAACCGCTAAAGCATAAAAGCCTCCCTTATGTTAAAATAAACATCCACGTTATAAATTGAAGATGCAATATCTATATCTATAGCATACATACCGAACCTATTTAAAGATTTATGGCATAGATTTTCGTACAGCAAGGCCTTAACAGATCAATTACCCCCATTGACTTAATATTCCAACAAAGAGAAGACCTGTTGAAATATTCAGAAGGCCGAGCGCCCCTGGCTTTGTTTTTGAGTGCTCACTCAGGGGAGCAGGGGAATTTTTATGAGTCGATGTCTGCATTTTCGTAAACATTCATTTATGTGTTATCCTATATTGTTAAAAGACGATTTTTTAAAATATTTATTTCTTGTATTTTGTTTTTTATCACAATTTAATATTTATATTATTCTAAAGTTTAGTTTGCAAATTTAACGTTTGACTTTTCTTAAAAATATTTTAACTTTTTTAAAGGAAATGCAGATTATTTCCTTAGATACATTGAAATACTTTTGGCTCTTTAAGAAACTTCTCAATTTAGCTAATGAAGACATCGATATTGGAAAAAGTTATACAATATCTTAAAGTTTAAATTTATACGTTGTAAGCGTTACTGATTTTCAATGGGTATCAGATCTTTTAGATCAATTTATTAAAAATAAAGCTCACTCGTTCAGGCATCAACACATTTAAATAACAAATTAGGGTTTATCATACGGAGTTAATATAGAATTTATAATAAATATAGGTGCTATAGAAATGCTGGAGCGGTCAACCCTCTCTGCGATGTCGTGACGTCTGCCAACACTTGTAATGATTCCAGCCGCGGCCGATTAGTGGCTTATTAGGCGTGTGTGCCTTGTTTCTATTGTTCGATTATTAAGCTATTGCATAGCTTCTATCGAGGGCCTTGAGCGCGGGGACCGAATCCAGAAATGCCGTAACGAAAAAAAACCTCACGCTAAAAACAAAACAAAAAACAGTACCAAAATCAAATGCTGAACGTCAAAGGAAATTTCGTCAACATAATGCAGAAAAATCTTACATGGATATGTAATTTGATTTAATAATAATAATTTTTATTTATTTATTTAAAAACGAATTGTAATATATGCTTCAATATTTTTATTTAATAAAAGAAAAAAAAATGTTTTCTTATCGGTCACCATGCTCAAAAAGTGTAACTTGAATTAATATCAAAGAAAAAGAAATACTGCATAAATAAAATAAATAAATAATTATAATTGCATAAGTTGATACAAAATGCTATGCAATAGCTTTACCGCGGCAGTCCCCGAGTGCCACACGTCTTTTTTATTTTTTATTCTTTTATACAATTTATTTTATGTAGATATTATAAAAAAATATTGAGGCATCTTGTTTCTCTTTTAAAGGGTTAACAGCAAAACTTCTCTATAATTATGACAAAAGAAATGTCTTAAGTCAGTAAACTTGTTCACTCATTTCTTCTTTATTTGGTAGACGGGTAGGTGATGTCTATGGCATTAAATGACATTAAGTCCGCCATTGTATAATTTTTGTGGTTTAAGTATGAAATATGCTAACTCTACACCATTTACATTCACATAAAGTTTTCTTAGATTTACTAGAAAATACTCTTCGCTTTCGATGTTGATTTCCAAAAATATGAGTTGTAATCGAGGATTACTCTTACTCACAACAATAAGTTTTAGTTGAATCTTGAAATTCTTCGAACAACTAGCTTCCTCCAACTCAAGTGGACAAAAACAAATTTAAGGGGTCAAACGCTCAAATGAAGTTCCAGCGAGTGTTCATAGACCAAAATGGACCTAACTTAGATCCTGACATTTAAAGAACCAAAGCCATGCAGTTGTATTAGTAAGAAATGCAGAAGAGAAAATTGAAGGAAGTCTCAAGTTACGACAACAATTTTAGATTTAATAATGAAAATTAAGTTCAGGTCTGTCCATCATGAGCTTTAATGAAACAAACAAACCCATAAACACACAGGCGACATATACTTTAATGATGTCATTCAACAGAGCTTTTGAATGTTCGTAAATACATAGTTTTTCAAGTAGTTATGGATATAATGGAATACCAAATAGATGTGTCATTTTATTAAGAAAACACAAATATCATTAAGTCAGTTGGTTAGGACAAAAATGTCATTACTCCTTGCAGAGAAAAATAAAGTATTGTTCGCATTTAATTTTATTTACTTTTAAAAGGAAGTACCTGTAGTATTAAGTTCCGTGGGATAATTGCAGTTTTAGCACTTATAGTACTTCAAGTCTGCGGATCTCTTTACGGCTTAAACTGATACTTTGGTGTTTAACCCTTAATTGCATTCATGCACGCAACACACAACCCAGGCATAAGATTAGAAGTGTCTTATACATACAGTTTTTGGCTGGCTCGCTTTTCTTTTGTAGCACTTCAAAAGAAAATAATTAAACTATGGCTGTCTGGCTGGCTAACTGGAATATGGGGCTCATTATGACCATTATCATTTTGCGGAGGAATTTACAAAAGACCTCGCGCTATTGGTTGTTGTTGGAATATGTTATAAATAATAACTGGTCGGTGGACATACATATATAGTACATAATTCTTCAGGTAAACCGGTGTCAGATATTTTTGGGTTGTCAGGAGTTGCACAGTGGAGAGCCTCAACACGTTTTTTTTTGTTTTTATGAGTTAAGTACTTATAATATTGTTTATAAAACAACAATATCAAATTAAATGAGTCTGCTGCTGTTAAAGTATCAAATATCTCTGCTGCTAGGTGTTTATATCAAATCGTTCCCCTTTAGTTTTCTGAGGTGGAATAGTGTTATTGAGTTAGCTGTGTACGCTATTTTATGCAGCTTAATAGTGTCTGTTGTGTCAAACTCCAGACGCTTAGATCGGAAACGAACTCTAGTTCTAAACAGCCTATCTTAAAATTTACTGATTTTTTTGAGGTCCGTGTTGAAGAGAGAGAGGAGAAGTTCCCATTATCTCTAACATCTCATCCTAATTGCTGTATAGAAACAAATATAAGTAGTTATATTAATATAATATCTTAATGGTTCTTCGATTATTGATGGTAAAACATAATACAGTAAGGATATGGTGGGTAGGATTTACAATCTAGAGAGACAGGCTGAGGGGTCGGTAAGAAATCTCGTATCTAGTAGTATCTATCTTTTTAAAAATATGTAATAGGTGCTGTGGGAGAGCCATGCTTCGGACTAAATAGGGCGGCTCGACCGGAGCGACTTCACGGCCTTACAGAAAGTAGTTTTTCACTGAATGAGTGAGGTTACCGGAGACCCCTATTATATCTCCTCGTCCTTCCCCTAATACTTGAGGAGTAAACTCAAAGGACGCACTTATGGCTCTTCACTGTAGTAGGTATGTAGGTGTCCATGAGTTGCGGTAGTCACTTACCATCAGGTGGCAAGTAGAAGAGTTTGCCCCCTGTATCATAAAAAACAGAAAAAGTACTTAGCTCATTGTTTATTCCATTTTTATCAGATGTTCAAAAGTTATAAATTTATTCCGGATTATAGTAAAGTAAACCATCTCGATCGATGTAAATGAACAACGAAGCGGGAACAAACTTAAAGTTCTGGGGTCGCAAACATTGCTAACATCGGCGAACTGTAAACTTGCCTAGCATCTCATATTCAAATAGTGCAGGGGAGCTAACGAACTAGAGGGGGTGGGTTGCTTCGACTTGTAAGAAAATATCAACAGAATACGGATATTAAGGTGGGGTTTCACTGAAGAGTAATATCGCAATTTTGTGAGTATTTTATAACGACGAACCGCGAATTTCAACTAAAATTCACAATTGATATACAAATGTAAAATGGTTTACTTTGGGAAACCGTAACTTATTTAGGATACGAGTAAAAGGTCCCGAATACCTTTACTTTTCTGCATCCCAGACAAGGTGATCAAAATTTAATGACGTTGGATTGAGAATTAAGAGATAGATATTTACAGGCATATTTATAATATTCAGTTAGGATATTATGACTAGTTATGATAGAATACCTTTACGAAGAAAGAAAAAATGGAATGTCTCCAGACTCACTGATCCTTAACTCAGTCGCACTTTTAGTACAATATGATATTTCTGAATATCTTCCAACGCAAGTTTTACTCAGATTGTTAAGAGTTTTTCACAAACTTTTTCTAACGGTTTTTAATAGCGAATAATTGGCCTGATTCGAGTATCGACAACGGTGAGCACCACTGGCAGTGAGAGCAGCTCAAAGCTGCTCTCACTGCCAGTGGTGCTCACCGGTTGTCATCTATACTAATATTATAAATCGAAAAGTTTAAATAGAAAAATATTTGTTACTGAACTACGCCAGACCTTGTGAACTGAATTGGATGAAGTTTGATATCATCTTCACAGTCACATCTTTCACAGTCCACTGCTGGACA